TAAATAAATAAATATGGCATTGAAACACCACATCCTTATACACTTAAAGTATTAATATTTTTGATTCTCTAGAAATTGTTTAGAATATACCTTACTTAGCAAAACAACGTTTGCCGGGTCAGCTAGTATATATAATGTAGGAAGAACTAATTTTAATTATATTGAGGTTATGTTCATGTCTCAAGAAAAGTACCTACAAACAACAACATAAGTATGTGGTATCAATATGAATATTATATGAAAAAAACCTTCAATTTACACCTTTTAATATGCTGTCTTTATTTAAACGTAAAAAGCGACTCGAGACACATATTTATGCTTTTTTTGAATCGCAAAATGAACATGTCAAAGTAAATAAAGTGCACTTGGACCGACCATGTGCAACCCACATAAAAACATCATAAATCAATTATTACTTATCATTTATCAATTATTATTATTATTATTATTATTATTATTATCTTACATTTTTGTTGGGTTTCGACGGCGACCCCTTGTCTTCGGGCCGCGTTCACCGCAGACTCCGTTTTCATAGCGGATGCCTTCGGAGCCTTTTTGCGCAGAACAGTCACTTGATCCCAATCTGACATTTTCTCACAGTATTATAAATATAAATAAACTTACGATTAATCACCTCGGACACTACGATTAATTAACAAACGATTTTAATTCACAATTTGCTTTTGCGTTGTATCATCAATGCCATTTATCATTTACAACACAAGTCTAAAGTTGGTGCAAGTGCAAGTAAGAGATTTGATTTGAACATGGCCGACTGGGATGGCGGATTAATGGAATTTGTTTTTTAATTGTTGTGGTTTGTCGGAAGGGTTGATGGGGTTTGTTTTAATAAATGTATATGTATAAAAATAAAATGTATATTCTAAAATGGTTTTTGGGGTTTTGCATTCGTGTGAGGTTTGGAAGGAAAACGATTGTGTGTGTCATATCGTTGGATGTGACAGAAACGAGAGTAGTGGGAGAGTCGGTGTCAAATTTGTAGGAAAAGTCTCGTTTAAATTTATTTAACTTTCCTTAGGGTAGTTATAGTAATGGACCGAAATCGAAAATGAAAATTTTATATATCTTTATGTTTAAAACGTCCTGAACAATTTTAAGGCATACCTTAGAAAAAATGCATGTATGTGTGTGTGTGTGTGCGGATACAAATTTTGAGACCAACGAATCAACCGATTTAAATGAGTCATTTACCATTCGATTTCTATTGATACGGAGATGAGCTGATTAGTTTTTGGCAAAGGCAGGTCCAGCGTTACGGAGATATGGAGCAAAGAGTGCAGATAATAGAATAAAGTTTTTTTTTTGAGAACGGATCATCCGATTTGTATGATCCAAAAACATTCAATTAGTAATGACGGGAAAAAGTGTTTATTAGTTTTTAACAAGGCAGATGCAGCCGTTTTTAAATACGGAGCAAAAGTGCAAAAATGGCAATGTTTAATGATTCAAAAATCTTTTTTTCTTGTGTTGACCAAACAAATATTTTTTGGAAAAAAATTATATTTTTTTTAATTTCATTCTTAACCAACCTTAACGTTTTTAGACCGCCACAACAATTTTAGGCCATCCAGAAAATTTTTAGATCGACCACAACGTTTTTTGGCTGCCTACAACAACATTTTTGGGTTATCCAGAAGGTTTTTTAGACGGTTTTACAATATTTTTTAGATCAGTTTGAACATTTTTAGACTGTGTACAATATTTTTAGATCAACCTGAACGTTTTTAGATTTTTTACAACATTTTTAGATAAATCCGAACGTTTTTAGACTGTTTACAACATTTTTTGACTAACTTAAGTTTTCAGACTGTTTAACAAACATTTTTAGATCAGTTTGAAAGTTTTTAGGCTGTTTACAACATTGTTAGATCAGCCTAAACGATTTTAGGCAGTTTACAATATTTTAAGATCAGTTTGAAAGTTTTTAGACTGTTTACACAACATTTTTGGGGCATCCAGAAGGTTTTTTAGGTCGTCCACAACATTTTTAGACAAACCTGAACGTTTTAGACTGTTTACAACATTGTTAGATCAGCCTGAACGTTTTTAGGCTGTTTACAACATTTTTGGTCATCCAAAGGTTTTTTAGACGGTTTACAATATTTTTAGATCAGTCTGAACGTTTTTTGGCCGTCTACAATATTTTTAGTTCATCCTGAACGTCTTTAAATTTTTTACCACATTTATAGAGCAGCCTGAACGTTTTTAGACTGTTTACAACATTTTTAGATTAGTCTGAATATTTTTAGACTTTTTACAAATTTTTGGGTCATTCAGAAGGTTTTTTAGGTCATCATCCACAACATTTTTAGACAAAATTGAATGTTTTTAGGCTGCTTACAACAACATTTCTAGACAAACCTGAACGTTTTTAGGCCGTCCACAACATTTTTAGACAAATTTGAACGTTTTAGGCTATTACACACATTTTTAAATCAATCTAAACATTTTAGGCTGTTCAACAATTTTGGGTCATCCAGAACGTTTTTTAGGCCGTCTACAATATCTTTAGACCAACTTGAACGTTTTTAGACTGTTTACAACATTATTAGATCAGCCTAAACGTTTTTGGTCTGTTTACAACATATTTTTTTAATTTTTTTAATTTTCAAAATAAAATTTTTTTGAATAACGAAAATAATTCAGATTTACAAATTTTATTTCGGTGAGAAAATTTTCATCAAGCAATTTGCCTCAAGGCACGATGCCATACACCACTAGTTTATTGATATGCTAAAAATTTTGAAGTTTTTTAGCATATCAATTTGTTTATTTAAATTAATTACATCATATTTCAAATAAAAGAAAGAATATCAAAACATACATCAAAATAAAAATAAAGAAATATTATGAGGAAATTAAAGATTGAATAGATATTTTAATTTTAATAAATATTATATTGTAGTATAATGAAATAGACAAATGATATGTAAATATGAAATAAGAAAATTGTTTCATAATCTCTCATACCAGATACCCCTGTCTTACTGAGATATAAAAATAATATGTAAATAAATAAATAAATAAATAATAAATAAAAATATTTTGTATTGTATTATATCATACACATATGTAAAGATAATAATAATTGATATTTAATTGCAATATATTCAAAATTTTACTAATAATATTACTAGTTCAATAATTGTCTCAAAATCACAAATTTAAAACAAAATTTAAATGTACCATGAATAAATATAATCATTTAGCCTTTCAGCTCTCCGTCTTTTTGCCTTCTTGACAGTTTTCGCTGCAACTTCAGTGCTGTGTGTCATTGGTCAATCTGCGTCTACGTTTGTATTTAATCGACGGATCGTATGTCAAATGTTTATTTCTTTTTAATAATCATTAATTGAATAAACGTGGGTTGAAAAGCGATCAGTTCATAAAAAAAACAAAAAAAGGTTTTAATGTTTTTGATGTAATTGATTTGGTAGAGTTAAAATAAGTGCTGGTCCTGTTTTAAATCTACTCAATGGCCTCCAAAAGCAGTTCGCCTAAACGGCCGAGAATTAACCAAGAAGCTGATGAACAACCTTATTTGTTAACTGGGAATCAGAAGTTTACGTTGGAGAATTGCGAGGTAAATGATAAAGGATACAATACTTGCTTTCAATTGATTTGTTTACAGGTTATGTGTCAAAAGTTTTGCTAAATTTTGCTTAAAAACCCTAGTGCAAAGGGCACATACACTTTGTATGCTCTAAATTAATAACCAAGTAAATTTCTATCTACTTATCAATTATTATTTTATCTTTCAGTTCACAATAGAAAGAGATCTCTCCAACAACCACGTAATACCTGATGTAGTCGTATCAAGATATCATTGCATCATAGAACATGACAAACCAAAAGATCAATGGACCGTCAAAGACATAAGTACGGGGGGCACATACGTGAACGATGTTCTACTACTTAAAAGAGAACACTCCGCAATTGCTTCAAAATGGTGACAAAGTGCGAATTCCTGAAAACTACATCTACGAATTCTTCAAACCTAAAACCAGCAAAAAGAAAGCTGAAAAGAAAAAGAGGAGTGCTGCTAGTTTAGATGAAACAGTTGTCGAGAAAGAGGTAAGGATAAATGATCAGATGATTAATTCTGGTTACTAATACTTCTATTTCCTCTTTCTAGAACAATTCATCACCCAGAAGTAAAAAATTTCACCAGGATTGTGAAGAGGAAACGACTTGTGCAATTTGTAACGAGATGTTTGTAAAAACAATTGCATTGAATTGTTCTCATGCCTTTTGCAAATCCTGCATCGTCCGGTGGAAGCAGACTAAGAAGATTTGTCCTGTTTGCAGGACCAAAATTACTGCAGAAGTCCCCTTGTTGCTTGTGGATAATATTATTAATTCGTTTTATGGCAATGGGTCTGATGAAAATAAACGGACTAGAGAACAATTGATAAAGGATAGAATTGGTAAGTGATGGTAATAATATATATATATATATTTATATAATAAATATAAATATAAATATATATATATATATATATATATATATTATTTTGCTTTTATTACTTGCAGAAATAGAGAAATCTTTAGAGCCCAAAAGAAACCCTCCAGATCCGGTAGTACAAATAGACGTAGACGGACAAGAGTTTATGCAAGAACCGCTCCTAGGACAACTACTTCTACTACTAGCTACGTCTCGTCAAATTCAATTATTGTTGTTGATGATGATTCGTAAGTAGGAGTTCAAATTTATAGTTTGTAGGGTTACTATTATACATCAGACAGAATATTTTAGAAGTTACATTTTTTTAATGTGGAAGTGGATGGAAATTGAATTAGTTCCAATCAATGTTTCCTGTTTTTACAGTGACACCAGCATCATCTCTTCAGATGACGAATTAAATTCTGAACTCAACGCAATTTATGCAGCTATGGAACTTCGTTTCCCGGCATCTTTTATGCATTAAGAAAAACCAAAGTGAGTGGTTAGATTATTTACATAAATCTCGACGAATGATATGGTTCAAGTATTTTTATCTACTTTTTACGTTATTAATGCTCATTATTAGTATTTTAAGATTTTGTGATGAAAATAAAAGTCTTTACTTATATTATGAGAAGAACTTCTTTGTTATAAGTTTTTATAATAATGTAAGATAGTATTAAATTTAAGATCTGATTAATTTGATATTAATAGTACAATATATTCTGTTCTGTTACAAAGATTTTGAAAAATACATTTAAAATTTTATTCAATTTGGTGTTTAAACCTTTAATTACCTTCCACCCAATTTTTGGATAAAGGATAATTGAATATTGATTTGTATAAAGGTAGATGGGTAAAGATAAAAAAAATAGATTTATAAATAGATAGCTAAAAATGTTAATAGAAGATGATAATATAGGAAGGTGAATAAATTGATGTAGTATGATTTAAGATGAACCATGAATGAAGTCCAGAACGCATTTAGACTTACTTGAATGTTTTTAGACTGTCTAGAACTTTTTAGACTTACCTCAATGTTTCAAGACGCAGCATTTAGACTTATCTGAATTTTCTTACACTCTCCAGAATGCATTTAGACTTGCCTGAACGTTTTTGTTGCATATAAATGTATATATGAATTTTTCTTTGAAATCTCATAAATAATCATAGGTTTTGTTGTGTATAAATAGATATATAAATGTATATATTGATTTTCCATCGGAATCTCATATATAAATGTAGGTTTTGATGTGTATAAATAGATATATAAATGTATATATTGATTTTCCATCGGAATCTCATATATAAAAGTAGGTTTTGTTGTGTATAAATGGATATATAAATGTATATATTGATTTTCCATCAGAATCTCATATATAAATGTAGGTTTTGTTGTGTATAAATGGATATATAAATGTATATATTGATTTTCCATCGAATCTCATATATAAATGTAGGTTTTGTTGTGTATAATGGATATATAAAATGTTATATTGATTTTCATCAGAATCTCATATATAAATGTAGGTTTTGTTGTGTATAAATGGATATATAAATGTATATATGGATTTTCCTTTGAATCTCATATATAATCATAGGTTTTGTTGTGTATAAATGGATATATAAATGTATATATG